TATTACTCTAACAATTGTAAGCTAAGTAAAAGAAACTAGAAATGAACGAATGTTTTTGGTGTTTTTCAAAATAGTTAAAAGCCTAGGGATGTGACCATAACCTAGGTATTCGCCTAATGGGTCAAAGACGTTAATACTTGTTTTGTTGGTTGGGGTATATTATAGTTCTCAACTCGACGTTAACCACTCAATATCTCTCGTTCAAAGAGTGATTTTGCCCAATTTGGCTTTCTCAAGTCCAAATGGGTATCAAACAAAATAGTTGATATGAGCTCAAGTTGGGTTCTTACTATCTCTAGTTTGAACTCTTTAATTAGGCTAATCAAACTCTTCAATTAGCCCAATTCCTTGTTATCCAAGTTATCCTAGACTAGGTCCCTCTTTCTCAAGTAGAGACTAAGTCAATAAGGTATGAATTAATATTTGCAACCATTAATTCTAGAATTGAAGCATGAACTACGCTAAATAATAAATACCCAATCATAAACAAGTATTAAATTAAATACCCATAAGTTCATACTAGCGTTGGGTCATAACCCTAATAAGAATCTAGCTACTCATAGTAGGAGTTGAAGAAAATAAAGAAGAAAAGTTAATTAAACTCATAATCAAAGATTAAAATGGTAAAAGATAATATTTGAACACTAAAATGGTTGCACACTTCCTAAAATGGTAAAAGGTAACGACTACATCAACCTAAACTTCGAAACTTGAACTAAAATTGTAAAACTTGTCTATTTACAGCGGGTCAAAATTCACTAATAAAAATGTCCCTCGGGAGGTTTCATGTCCGTAAAATTTCATATGCAGTCCGCAAATTTCTTCAGTTAGCAGGAGAGTGGGTTTTTGCAGCCGCACATTTCTAAGTTGTGGCTGCGAAGTATCTTCTGCGGCCACACAATTCTTGTTCACTCTGCACTTCATCAAGGCTTCAGGACTTGGTCTTATGCACACTATCTAAACTTGAAATCATCTGTCAGTAAAAACCTTGTTTTGCGGCCGCACAATTCATGTGTGGTCCGCATATTGGCCAAAGTTCTGCTGGGTACTGGTACTTGGTTTGTGGTAGCAAATGGAATTTTTCGGTCCTCCCATTCTTCTGCGGACCGCACTTCTTTGATTCTTCGCCCTTTATTGCCTTGTGATTCAGAACACTCCTTTTTGAGTTGGATTTCATCATGGGAGACCGAACTTCTAACATTCCTGCAATTTGTATATTTCATTAGTTTTGAGAACATAAATCAATACTTTCGGACTAAAATAAAAGCAAAAAGGTGCTAATAAGTAGTTAAAAATACCCACTTATCACATCCCATGTTACGATCCGCAACATACAGAGTCTCCATCAGAATTGTTTACATTTTCCTGCCTAACTTGTATTCTATACATATGTTCTATTGTTATTGTACCTTCTAGTAGATGCTCATGCACTTGTGACACCGGGTTTTGAGAGTGTTCTAGAATTGTTATGGATTGTTTTACATTGATACACTTTTACTTATTATTTTTAATTAAAATATACGTAACTACGATTTATTTTAATGCACTGACCTCTCTATCTAAATAAGATTCATGATTTTAAAAATAATAAAATGAATAATTAAGTATTGGCTTTTCTAACAGCGACATTGGGCGCCATCACGACCTATGGTAGATTTTAGATCGTGACATTTATGCTACTGAAGAGGCGAACAACGAGGTTGTAGCCACCAACTTAGACCTACTAGAAGGATAGAGAAAAATGGTCTTGATTTGGATGACAACACATAAGTAAGGAATCAAGAAGTATTACAATAAGAAAGTGAACCTTCGACTCTTCAAATTGGGGATTATGTGCCGTAGAATGTATTCTCAGCATCCCAAGATCCAAACATGGGGAAGCTCGAGCCCAACTGAGAAGGACACTACCAGATCATCGAGATAACATGAAAATGTTTGTACAAGCTCAAGGGGATGGATAATAGATTCTTGAAGGTAAATTGGAACGTGGCGCACCACAAACTATTCTAGTTCTAAGGACCGTAGCGGTTCTACTTCCTTCCCTATCTACACATTACAGATTTATTTAAATTATATTTTTACTAACCATTTTATATGACAAGAATTAAGCCAACCAATATGAATGATGACTATACTGACATGTGGCAATATTCTAGAATCTCTGTAGTTTCTAGCCAAGGTCAAAATGTTTGACTAAAAGGGATACATCATTGCCTTCATCTAAATCCCACCCCCATCCATTTAATTTATTTTGTAAGAATAAAACCATCAGGAAAACATATTGGACTGAACGCTCATTCGGACACTAGTCGACTATGATACCAGTACTCAAATATTCATTCTGCAAACCCGAACACTTGAAGACTATACCATATGAAATTGTAAGTCATGAAGATCAAAAGCCGCATGGAGAAAAATGGCAGCTAAAAATGAAAATTAGGATATCAGAAGATTTCAAAATCACCCAAAATTTTTAGATAAATCTATTCCAAAAATGATATATTTTTATATACAGTCCAATAGAGGCTACCTTAATAGTTTAATCAGATCTCCTTCAATATGTTAAGTCAAAAAATAACTCAATAATATACTTGGGTTAACTACCCTAAATAAAGATCAATTCACGGTCGAGACAACGACAGATCAGTCGTACTAGCCTCTGTTGTAACCGTCTTTCATGCTCAAGAGAGCTTGTGTACCGCAATTGATGACAACACCAATGCTACCCATGGATGGCCTCAAGGCGTTAAGGTGGAGGAAAACTAAAGAGAAAAATTAACATCAACAAAATTAGCCAAAAAATGGAGACACATTACCAGCCTCTAAATACTCGACCAACTTATCCCAGACAAATTTTGAAGTGCCAACAAAAAGTCCAAAATTATGGAATTGATTGGAGGTTTGAACCTAAGGGTGAATAGGTAAGTACACATAACAGAAAATCTAGTTCGATGGTTGGTGTTCCTTTCACTTCCAAAGGCGCTATAACATCGACAAGATCGTCCCAATGACATCCCCCCAACGAACATGGGGATGTGATTTTTATATACCAGCGAGTCAAAGTTATTCACATGAGTACTTACATATTGCATCGTCGGCCTGTTCTATGACTTTTTCGGCCGCTTCAAAATCTATTTGCTTAGGAGGAATGTTAGTGACTAAAGGGCTCAGTATTATGCTTCTCTTTCCTAGCCAAAGACTATAGGCTCAATACCATACTTCCCTTTCATGCGGACTATCTGTATTTGTAAAATTTGGCCTTACCATGTGGCACAACAAAACATTGACACGTGGTGAAAGTGGTTCCGGGCCCATGAGCATGGAAGTCAAGATCTAAGAGCAGAAGTACTGTAATTGTGACCGCCTCTTCAACTCGAAATAAGGTCAACCAGAGGGGCACATACCCAGAGTAGGTCAAATAATTTCGGTGCCAAACTCAATTGTACTCGAAGCTCTTCTGAGATCGTGGTCCCCGTAAGTTGCACAATTATGGTTACCGTTGGAGAGGATCTCACTACCCCACTAACGTCATACCTAACATGCAAGCTAAGAATTGGAACAACCTCGTCCTATCTAGTAGTTTTTTTCTTACTCTCCTTACCCGATTATAATTATGTTAATTACACGAGAAAAAAGTAAAAAGGGAGAGCTTATTTTTTATAACGTTAATGTGGTTGATAAAATTAATAGGAATATCTCTCTTTTTTTTTTGAAAAAAAAGAAAGAAAGAATCTTCATAATTGGATTCGGTTATTGGGATTAATAAGTCGCGTTTACATAATGAGATTTAGGGTGTGTTTGGTATAACGGAAAATATTTTCCGTGGAAAATATTTTTCAAGAAAATATTTTCTTGGTAAACAAGTCATAATCTTATTCATTTTCCAGTGTTTGGTACGCAAATTAAGGAAAATATTTTCTCAAGAGTATTCATAAATAATTTTGATAAAATAAACATGAAGCCATAAACTTTCAAACCAACAACCTTCCGAACCCAAAAATTTCATAAACTTCTGAACCACAAAACTTTCTAAACCGCGAAATTTCGAACCCGTAAACTTTATAATTTCTAAACCCGTAAACCGCGGAATTCATAACTTTGGAACTTGTAAAATTTCGAACCTATAAGCCGGAAGATGAAAAAAGTAAAACTGAAAATATATATAAAAAATATTTTTCTCCTGGGGGGAGGTGGGAGGAGGGGTAGTGGATTGGTTAGGGGTGGGGGTGCAGAAAAAAGAAAAAACAAAAATTTGAAAATTACAAAAAAAAGTTTAAAAAAAAAACTTTTTTTGTGCGGGGTAGGGGCAGTAGGGGGTGAGGGTAGAAAAACGAAAAATACAACAACAACCCAGTATAATCCCACAAGTGGGGTCTGGGGAGGGTAATATGTACACAGACCTTACCCCTACCCCGAAGGGTAGAGAGGCTGTTT